GGGGGGAAGGGGCGGGGGACGCGGGGCTAAGAATCGCAGTTGCCCTTCCTCTCCATGTTAAGGAACTCCGGGAATGAAACAAGTAAGTTGCACTAACCTTCAGCCCAGTTACAGGCGTTTTCGAGGAAATTAAAGGTGGACAGTGTCGTAATTCAATGAAGGACAAAGTTTCCAAGATTTTTAGAAAAGCAATGGGGAGTCCAGCCTGCCGGATCTGCTCCCTGAAATACAGACACAGGCAGCTTCAGAGCGACTTTCCCCACAGATATGCCACAGGGCATAAGCAGATTCACCGAGGCAGGCTTTCCAAGGACCCCTCCATATGTGTCGGGTTGGAAATTAGTGTATAACTTTTACCCAAAACAGTCGTTAACACGGATGTGTAAGACGTGTCTAGAAACAACAGAATCTGGCACCAGGGAAATGCTTGCAGAGAGAAGATTCACGAAAGAGGAGATTATTGCATGCACTTATTACACACTTATGATGTAATGAAGTAGAGATGTTTCCATATGAGTTTAATTCAGAACTGGACCAGAAGACTAGTTTAAGAAAATGCAGCCTTAGACTCTTCCCTTGCCCCTGCAATAACTTGAGCTTTTCTTTGAGGAGAGGGGAAGAATTAGAACCAAAGCACATAAAATGAGGGAGGAAATCCACAAAGGGTTACAAAGGGTCAGAAGGCCTGGAAAAGCTTTAAAGAGCATTTCATTCCAGTAGACCCACCTGGGTTTCCTAAAATAAATGCTTTTGACAGCGCGCTGGGATAGTTCTTTAGGATTGGGGAAACAAATGAATCGGTGTTCGCTTTTCTAAGAAACTTGTCTTTCCACATGATTAATGGCGGAATTAAGGGTGGCAAGAGAGGACCCTACTTTTATAGGAAGCTCTTGGGCTCCCGAAGGAGGGTCCTATTGCTTATCTGGTATTGGCAGCAAGGTTAGAAATGCTGCCCAGCATGGAAAGTTGAAAATCTTCCCTACTTCCCTGTACAACCTTCCAGGATCTGCCTACTTGCTGGAATAAGGCTTACTTGTCTCCCAGTCATTTTCAGATGTCCCTATTTGGAAGGTAGTCTACAGCATAGACAATCTTATTAGTAATGAAGAAGAAAGTAAAATACCCACTTCTGCTTCTTTAAATTTTATTTTATCCTCTTCATCTTCTTGGGGTGGGGGCGGTGACCAGAAAATGTAGCAAATGGAGGTGGGGGGCAACAATCTGCACAGCCAGTCCAGAGAATGTTTGTGTTGGCTATTAATCCCCTGGTAGCTTTGCTGCTTCATAAGTGTATTCTTTACACACTCTCTTTTTCTGTCTCTGTCTCACTCGCTAACCCTGATAGACTCAAATGCACATGCATGGCATATGTCAGACCCAGACATTTCAAGCAACTTAGAAACGGGACACTCGGCCGACAGCACTCTCCATCAACACTACCCAGGGAAAAGCCGGCACTCTGGCCAGCCATCCTGTCTCAGTTCCCAAGCAACACATCAACTAAAGAACTTTCTCTCCTGTCACTTTGCAGGCAGCGTCTGGACCATTCGCCTACACGCGGGTTGGAGTCTCCGTATCCAAGCACCACAATCAATTTCGCCTTAAGAGTAAACTTTGCGTATATTTCCGCTGGCTAGTCCGCCGTTCCCAGAAGGGGACAAGTCTCCCTTTCACTTCCACGCACAGGGAGTCAGGGACGCCTCGGTGGAGATGCCACTACCCCGCAAATGCCAACACCGGAGTTCAGACAAGCACTCTCCGCAGCTGCCGGCATCCACTCTTCCCACCCCTCGGCCCCGCTCCTCCTCGGCGCCTCTGCCATCCATTTCCAGAGGCTCTGTACCACAAGCAGGGAAAGAAAAGACCTGCCAAAGGAGATCAAAGAACGCGAGCAGCTCGGGCTGCACCTACTCACTTAGGAGTTCTCCGCGTCTCTCTTCATTCATTCAACTCTGCCGAAGTGCAAATCCCTCTGGGAGGCTGGGTGGCGGGGTCGGGGAGGGGCGGAGGAGAGAGGCGAAGGGAGTTAGTAGAGAGAGACTCCACTAGAAAGAGGGGCGCCGGGCTGGGCGGCCTGCTCGGCAGGCGAGCGGGGACTGAGGAGATCTCAAGCCTCCAGGCGGACTGGCCCTGGCCGCCAATGTGCCTTTGTTTATGTGGCTCGCGCTGCCTCTGCCAACATGCACCTAAAATCTCCGCGCGTCAGCGCGCGTCAGCAGCTCGCCGCCCAATGGCAGAGCAGCCGCGCTCCCCGGACTCCTGGCCCGCGCTCGCTTTGGTATATTTCCGACCTGACGTCACGAGCAGGGCCGACTTTAAGGTGGGAACCATTCTGGGTTCACCTTGGTAGCTAGTTTGGTTTGGGTTTTTTTGTTCCCCCCTCTGAAAGAGGTGTGACCTCTCCACCCAAACCCGCAACACCTCGCCTTCTCTCAATTACCATGACTGCACGGCCGCTGGTTCATTTACACGTGGGGCGAGCGTGGGGTGTGGGGAGTGGGGAGCGGAGAAGGCCGAGTGGAAGAGAGCGTAGGCGTAGGCCAGGTAGCCCGCACCTGAAGTCACACGAGATGGGGTGTGCCTAACAGCGCCCTGACCACTCACCCACACTCCTCGCCCTCGTTAGCGGAAGCGCATACAGTTGTCCCGTGACATGCGACGCTCAAAGGACTCGGGCAGTTGGAGAGGGATTTCCCTGGTTCGGTGCTTTCTCTTAGCCACCCCCTA